AAGGGAGGCCCTGAATCCCCTTCGCAATGTATCCACATCTGGGATCACTCACTCACACCACTGGGTTTTGAGGTAATTAGGGTATGTATTGTTAGGATATTGATGGGGCATATATTTGAAGTAAACTGTGTTCATACAGCTACTTCACTCACTCACTCATTCACTCATTCACTCATGATTCAGTCATGATGCAGTCATGGTGCATTCATGAAGGAAGACATTTGAATGTACCAAATATGTTTTACAAATGTTAACTTTGATACCGTAATTTATAGTCTCCTTAAACGTGCACATTGTGCTGTAGATATATAGCAGCCGGTAACGACTACCACACACAGAGATTAGAAAGTCCAGAGTCTGAGAAGCAGGCAGTCGATTTGTGCACGTAACAGTTTCACTCCATAATCAATACACTAGCCTTTTTTGCTCACAGTACCGTATGACACATTGTCTTTATCTGCATGTGTGTGTCTCTGTGTGTGTGCGTGCATGCGTGTACGTCGAAAGTGATATCTGTTGATATACGTGCATGTATGTTTATAAAGCCTTTTCCACTAGTCTATTCAGAACATGTATGAACGACCGAACCTTAACTTGAGTTTATTTAAGATCGGGTTATCGGAGTTTGAGACACCTAGTACAGACATGACGTCAGCGATTGTCGAATGTAGATTAAGTGGGGTATATACACTCACTCGTGATTTCATATTGACAGAATGCAGTTATCAGTAATGTATTATGTAATGTAAGAGGGTTGCAATAAAGAATAGATGGCACGTACCCAAGTTTTCAAACACGCTTATATTTAGCAAACCAAAAAACACAATGTCTTACGAGCACAAAGATTTACAGTGGTTCCCGGGACTGAATTCAGCCTTGAGTGTCAACGGTATTATATCTGTCAAATCGGTCTGTGGTCGTTGCGTGGTCAAAAGAATCACGACGTGTATGCCATTGGTCGTCGTGTGCAACAAAGGGATCCTCCTGTTCTGAACCTGGCCCAATTGGAAGCTGTTTTACACGAGGAATGGCGTAGACTGCCCCTTCAGAGGACCAGGAGGGGTATGAGGAGGAGAGTGCAGGAGGTTACACTCGGTATTGACCTTGAATCGTGTAAGACACGCAAAATGACATTTTGAATGTTCACATTCACCGATAAATTCAACATAAAACATTCCAGGGCCATAGTTGTACAGACATGGTTTTGTATGAAAATAAGTGTGCTTTTTTCAAAATAGGCAATTATTCATCATAAACTCAACATGGATTCCAATCATTTTGTCGTTTTTTATGAATCAAAGGATCATACAGGTCAGAAAAACGCATGGTTTTTTTTCAATCGTGGTCACCACGAGATGTTTTATGTAAGTGTTGAAAAAACCTATCATTCCAAAAATACTTAATTAAGTTCTTTGTGTATAAATGTATATTAAGGATATTACTGATACGAGACAAATGAGCAGGTGAGACAACTTGAATCAGCTTCAGTACCCTGCCCTCTTCCATGTTTCCATTGCTTTGACGACTGTGGGATGAAGACGTAGAACACAATTCGAAGGTTGAATAGTAAACATGGAGGACGAGTTACACGTTACAGAGTAGTAGTATTTATATATTTATTTTATTTATATATATTTATATAGTGCCAATATCCAGATCACCTGCTCAAAGGCGCTTTGTTTTTCCCTCGACCATTGGATGTCAGTCTCAAATGGCACAACGCATTATCAATCTCAACTCCCTGGGGATCATACAACTCTTGCAGCCACTAGGCGCACCGAGTTAATGTGGCTTTCCCATCCTTACGAGGTACCCATTCACAGCTGGGTGGACTGGGACACGTAGTCACAGTATTTTGTCCAAGTTTACTGCACGTTGCTGTACCCGCAACTAGGTGTTTGCACGTATTCATGTGGCCACCATCTGGTCATATACCAACGGATTCGTGGTTTCGTTTAAGTGCACAGGGTTGTGTACTGTACACTAGGGGTTGTGACAACACTGAGAGAGTCTGCACGCAAAGTTGACTCCAAAGGTTTTTACGCCCGGTCACAGGTGGGCTCGATCCCGTCACCTCAGGTTCGCTGGATCACCCACCACGCCCTCGTAGTATTTCGTGGCGTTTCGGACAACATAGAAGAACATTCTATTTAAAGTTGACTTGCAGTGAAATAGTTTGGAAGGAAATATAATATGTTGTTCTCAGTTTCATTTTACAGAGCAGTTAGGTAAGTTAACCAGTAACAACAATCTAAAACTTGCATTTAGATGAAACTAACAGTCATATATCACGTGGATCAGAGCATGCTGTTTTACATGGTCAACTTCAAGTTCAACACAAATAGCTAGACGCACTCCCCTCCCAAACCACAAGGAAATATTTGTGTGCACAGAGAATGCATACAAGTAGGTCACCATGAGTTGACGGATACCAGCGATACTATAGAGTGGCAATGACAGCATGCAGTGCCTACGTGCAAAAGGATTGGAGTGAAACAGTACATACATGGGGGGTTGCAGTTACATTATAAACTTGTTTACCTCTCAGCTACTATCGAACAAAGTTGCAGAAGCATATCTATTATAAACATGTACTGGAACACGACCTTCACTCGGTTTCATCTTCCCGCTCATATTCAAGGGTTTGCCTTCGTGTTACTAGATACCCAGGTCAGCGTGTCTGAATAATGTGCATCACTAGTGCATGTACGCCTATAGTTTGAGAGTAAAGTCTTTGTATCCATTAAACAGGTGAGACAGGAAAGCGTTAAAGCATCATGTTTTTAATAAACAAATTCATAAATGCAACCGTGCAGATGTAGCAGTGTTCCCTTAAAAGTTGCAGAGAGATATTAATCTATATATTTCATTTCCATAGAAAATAATATAAGAACGTCCGCATGAACTTCTGTGAGATATATCGTGCAAGGAAAGAGGGTCAGTATTTGACCTATAAACATTTCCTGTAGAGACAGATACAAGTTTATCTCCAGACTGCATCTGATGCCACCGCAGTACAAATAATTAAGTTTCACATTGTCTGCTTGTGACCCGGCCGTAAAAGTCATCACTTTTAAATAGTAACAAATAAAGTTCACTGGAAACAATCCGGCTGAACTGTACAGCGAACATGTTTCATGTACATGCCACTTCTGTAATGGAGACAATATTAAACTTGCGGGTAGTTCAACACGATGCAAGACAACATCACAATCTGTAAGATAAACATTAGCGTGCAATAGGGTTATCTCTGTTAGTACAAGACTAAAGTGTCCTAAAGTATTACACTTTATTCAGAGGATCTCTAACAATAACTAATCCTTTCTGCTTATGTATTTATAATTCCTCAATAGACATTTCTTATAGGTGAGCGAGTATGTATTACGGCGCTTCTAACAACATTCCAGTAATATGGCTTGGAACACCAGAAAAAGTCAAGAGAAAGAGAATCGAATCCGGTGTCGAGCGATTTCTGTAAACATTAGGTTACACTGTAACTCCTGCGCATACCGTTATAAAAGTCTTTCTCTGCGGACAGAATGTGTCACATAATAAAGTTGCAAAACAAATTTGTACTGACGGATTTTGCTTATTCTAATATTAGGGGGTTACACCAAACACTGACTTTGGCCAACTGAGCACATTTGTACAACGAGTTGAAGTGAAGTCAAATCATATTTTATAATTAAATACATGTGTTGTTGCATACTGAGTGCTCGTACTTGCTGCTTATAGAATGCGGGTGTAGTTGTAAAGTATGCGCGTGATGCTGTGTACTGACTGACTGACTGAGTTTAGTTTTACGCCGCTTTTAGCAGTATTCCAGCAATATCACGGCGGGGGACACCAGAAATGGGCTTCACACATTGTGCGCATGTGGGGAATCGAACCCGGGTCTTCGGCGTGACGAGCGAACGCTTTAACCACTAGGCTACCCTACCGCCCCCTGTGTACTAAATGCACGGGTTGGTGTATAGTGAATGCACATGAGGCAATAGCGTGAATGCTCGTGTTGCTGCATACGGAATGCAGGTGTTGTATACTGGATGTACGTGTTGTGTATACTGAATAGACCGAAAGCACGTGTTGTTGTATACCGAATGCACGTGTTGTTGTATGGTGAATGTCGCGATGCTTCATACTGAATGTATTAGATGCTGTAGAGTGAATGCACTCGTTGCTGTTGGCTGAATGTTCTTTTTGCGGTACATTGAATGCATGTGTATGGTGAATGCTCTTGATGCGGTACACTGAATGTACATGCTGTTGTATGGTGAATGCTCTTGATGCGGTACACTGAATGTACATGCTGTTGTATGGTGAATGCACGTGATGCGGTACACTGAATGTACATGCTGTTGTATGGTGAATGCACGTGATGCGGTACACTGAATGTACATGCTGTTGTATGGTGAATGCACGTGATGCGGTACACTGAATGTACATGCTGTTGTATGGTGAATGCACGTGATGCGGTACACTGAATGTACATGCTGTTGTATGGTGAATGCACGTGATGCGGTACACTGAATGTACATGCTGTTGTATGGTGAATGCACGTGTTGCTCTTGAATGAATGCACATGTTTTCTCACAGTTTATTGCTAACTACGACTGGTCCTGATTCCATCCGACTCACGGAGGACAGTTCACAATGCTTGTCTCGGGAAGGAAGGAACCAGGACTTACATATAACAGTCATCAAGACAATACCTATTTCTGCTCTGCCTCTGTTTTGTATCAACATATTTCATCGAACATGACACAGCTGTTTTAAGTTTCGTTTTCCATACACAAAAATACTTCCCCGATGTGCATGACTGTTTGTCCTCTACAAATGTGTTCGAATAGCCGATGTCATGTGCCTGATTCTTTTGCATGCACAATATGTCCATCGCCTTCCCACACAGTGAATCCTGGTGTATTTAATGGGAACAACCCTGCACAACAGTCAATATTGGCAAAAACTTAGGGGAAGCCCCATAACAACACAAATTTAACTTATTTTTTAAACATTTTATTTCCTTCAAGCCGTATTATACACGGTTTGGCATTAGATAAAATGTCTTGTACATCTCAGAAGGTTAAAAATATCATGGCTTTTAACACTACAGGCTCTACCTATAATTAAATATTTTCGTTGTTGAAAAAAGTGTCACTAGAACAGAATAATAACCCACCTAGGATCTGCAACTAATCAGTTACTGAGATATGATAATCACTACTTTGTGTCGCTCGAACTTCCTCCTTCGATTACTGCATCATTCGAGACAACCAACCCTGTCTCGGGCGCGTTGTTCTCGCTTGTACAGCGACCTCCATCCGTTAATTCGAACCCAGCGTCTCCACGAACAGTTTTTCGATAGAGGAATGGAATTCTCTTGGCTAAACTGGTGTCTCTGAAAAATGCATTCAGATCGTTAGTGATTTCTGATGTATTGCGGTATATTTACAAACGGGCATATGTGTGGGTTCTTCTATGCTAACCTGTTGAAACAAAATAGCTACTTTGGTTACCTACCCAGAAAATCAGTCACTTTCTACTTGTATGTTCACACTAAGCTGAGACACACGAGACAACGTCATACACGGTAATTGACAGACAGATCAATACTGGGACATAGCACTACAACACAATGACATGCATGTGTGAGTGAGTGAGTTTAGTTTTATGCCGCAATCAGCAATATTCCAGCTATATGGCGGCGGGCTGTAAATAATCAAGTCTGGACCAGACAATCCAGTGATCAACAGCATGGGCATCGATTATGGGATACGATGACATGTGTCAACCAAGTCAGCGAGCCTCACCACCCAATCCCGTTAGTCGCCTCTTACGACAAGCATGGGTTGCTGAAGATTAATTCTAACCCGGATTGCTTACGTGCCATGTGAGAGAATTCAGTACTTCCCGTACATCGTTATATTTGAAGGTCATTTCATGATACAGTCTGACGCAATGTATACCAGTTTTTATTAAGGTATAATAAAGACAATATATATCTTACCTGATGACCCATACACCCAGGACAGCGGCAGCTACAAAACACAGACCGATGTACACCAGGAGAGCCCTGTACATCGTGGTCAACGATTGTGGACAATCACCAGTAACCCCACACTGGCAAGTTGGTAAACTGGCTGAAAATACACGATTTAACATTGGATGTTAGATGGTTCTTGTCCTTCATTGTCGAGTTAAGGTGAATGGAATCTAACAAATATAACAATATATTTTATAAAACAATGTGTGTAGAAAGAATCCATGATTTCTAAAATATCATAGAAATAATATATTTACAGTAACGTACGCAATAATATTCGACGGAAAGTTTGATTAGGAACTTTTAAGTGACAGTTTTATGATACAAAATTCTTTCTTCGCTTTATGTATATTAGCATGGTGGGGGAGAAATAAAAATTGTTGAATATGCATGACATAGATAATTCATCCTCGTTGTATAAATATACGTTTAACTTATTAAATTGTTTAGATAAACGGAATTGTCGGTCACAGCGTCTATCATCACAAAGCAGGACTCTGTTCTGGAGCTAGCGTGCATCAACATGTTATAATTCCCTGTGACAAAGGGTATCTGTGGGTTACTTGTGCCCATTGACAGTGTACATTGTGGATAACGAAGCTACACATTGAACCTAAAGACATGTGTGCGTGTACATGTGTATGTACGCAGTATTATTTGCAACACCGAGGGCACAGTTAATGCGCAATAATCTCCCGGGACGGATGAGCTCTTAGTTTTAAAGATAAGGAAAATATAACATCAGGAAATATTTACAATATTACTACTATTTGTACAACTACTTCGGTCAGATCCACTGTCTCTGCGCAATAACACGTGCCGCGGACGTTTGGCCAGGGTGTATCACTGCATATAACCGTCGCAATTACCATTGTACCAAAGCATTATCTGTCAACACCTCCCACCCCAACCCCCACTCTCTCACCCGCTCCCTCTCTCCCCCTTCCTCTCTCCCCTTCCCTCTCTCTCCCTCCCTCTCTCTCTGTCTGTCTCTTTCTCTCAATCTCACTCTGTGTCTGTCAATCTCTCTCCCTCTCTCTCTCTCTCTTTCTGTCTGTTTCTCAATCTCCCTGCCCCTCTCTCTGTGTCTGTCTGTCTCTCTCTCATTTCTCTCCCCTCTCTCTCTCTCTCTCTCTCTCTATCTATGTCTCTCACACACATATCTACATATAGACAGGTTATAACGTATTACTAAGATACATGGTAACGTAAACACATCACATATCACAGTGATGTCGTGTGCATAGATCAACCGACACTGACAGATGCAAAAGGAAATTGTTCGCTCATACTGTTTCTTCAACTTGAATTTAAATGTAAGTTTCAAAGACTTGAAATATTCGCGCGCAGATTAAGTAAACTTCGGCTACATAGACGCGTGTGTAATATGTCACATCATATACTGTACCTGACATGCTGTCACTGCCGTCCTCAATACACATGGAATCAGATTTAACAGGAACTTGTTTCAGTAGACCAGTAGGTTACGAGGAAATAATGTTTTGACATGCCGTTGTTGTTTATTGTTTGTTTGGTTTTTCATTACTATATATACCGTTACAAGTAGGGCAGGATGTACCTTTCTGTCAGAGGGAAAGTACTGAAAGTTTTCATTTGCTTTCGGAGTAAGCCAAACTCCCTATCCAATGTTCGGTGAAAGTGGTGACTGGTGGATCAGGTGGTCACTCTCGCCACCACAGGGCTGTAACACTGGTGGATCGGGTGGTCACTCTCGCCACCACAGAGCTGTAACACTGGTGGATCGGGTGGTCACTCTCGCCACCACAGGGTTGTAACACTGGTGGATCGGGTGGTCACTCTCGCCACCACAGGGCTGTAACACTGGTGGATCGGGTGGTCACTCTCGCCACCACAGGGCTGTAACACTGGTGGATCGGGTGGTCACTCTCGCCACCACAGAGCTGTAACACTGGTGGATCGGGTGGTCACTCTCGCCACCACAGGGTTGTAACACTGGTGGATCGGGTGGTCACTCTCGCCACCACAGAGCTGTAACACTGGTGGATCGGGTGGTCACTCTCGCCACCACAGGGTTGTAACACTGGTGGATCGGGTGGTCACTCTCGCCACCACAGGGCTGTAACACTGGTGGATCGGGTGGTCACTCTCGCCACCACAGAGCTGTAACACTGGTGGATCAGGTGGTCACTCGCCACCACAGGGCTGTAACACTGGTGGATCGGGTGGTCACTCTCGCCACCACAGGGTTGTAACACTGGTGGATCGGGTGGTCACTCTCGCCACCACAGGGCTGTAACACTGGTGGATCGGGTGGTCACTCTCGCCACCACAGAGCTGTAACACTGGTGGATCAGGTGGTCACTCTCGCCACCACAGGGCTGTAACAATGGTGGATCGGGTGGTCACTCTCGCCACCACAGGGCTGTAACACTGGTGGATCGGGTGGTCTCTCGCCACCACAGGGCTGTAACAATGGTGGATCAGGTGGTCACTCTCTCGCCACCACAGGGCGGTGTAACAATGGTGGATCAGGTGGTCACTCTCGCCACCACAGGGCTGTTACACTGGTGGATCGGGTGGTCACTCTCGCCACCACAGGGCTGTTACACTGGTGGAACGGGTGGTCACTCTCGCCACCACAGGGCTGTAACACTGGTGGATCGGGTGGTCACTCTCGCCACCACAGGGCTGTTACACTGGTGGATCGGGTGGTCACTCTCGCCACCACAGAGCTGTAACACTGGTGGATCAGGTGGTCACTCTCGCCACCACAGGGTTGTTACACTGGTGGATCGGGTGGTCACTCTCGCCACCACAGGGCTGTAACACTGGTGGATCGGGTGGTCACTCTCGCCACCACAGAGCTGTAACACTGTAACTGTAACTACAACGAGACAAACAAACAAAACAAACAAATAAGAAAGCTCTGTTGTTAGAAAGGTTGGCTGCATGATAAGCATGTACCATAAGAAACCATAGGTTACGACAGGCAATGGTGCCTTTGCGAGGATTAAAGATTTTTTAAAAATATTTTTGAGATGACCACCGACAATAAATGTAGATTTCAATAACTCATGATTTATTGCACTGTGAAGCATTTTGAGTCGGGTTTCATGTAATTTTTATTTAATCTTTAATCCTCGCAAAGACACGAGGGCCTGTGTCGGTTAGGACTACGCCAAAGGGCGTGCGTGGTTTGTTCAGTCGGGGTCCAAAACACATGCACATGCAAGTGAAATATATAAAAATGATGATATGTCGAGAAAGCGATTTCAATGAGACATCCTTTTGGTCGCTGGAGCTTCAAATTGTTCAAGTCAGCCACGTGTCCCGTATAACACATTTTGAAATCTTTATTAATGTATCGAATACTGTAACCAATATCAAACAACGGACAGACACCATGTCTGATTGTACATCAAATTAGTGAACATGTGGACACCCAGGCTAGAGCAGCTGACATCTTGCTTCATGATACCGCCCCCCTTGTCATAGTGCCTAGTGTATTGTTTGACACTCTGAACTGTTAATGCACAGATCTAAGTATGAGCGAGTGAGTATGGTTTGACGCCGCTTTTAGCAAGATTCCATGAATATCACGGCGGTGGACACTTGAAATTGGCGTCACACATTGTACCCATTTAGGGAATCGAACCCGGGTCTTCAAACGTGACGAGCAAACGCTTTAACCACTAGGCTATCCCACCATCCCAGATGTAAATATGAATAGATGAGACGGTGTTTAATTTCTAGACCAGTGGAAGGGTATTGACTTGATCATTTTTAACGATATCAGATCATCGATATATCTCCAGCCCAAGCTAAAGCTCTTTGTCCAATTCACTCGTTTCGATTTTGCCAATCGGAGAAACCGGCCAGACTCCTGACGAGGCAGGTGAGCGTGGAGGGACAAACCCATCGCTCTTGTCGGGTATTGTTGCGGGTGAACGTTTATGCATATAACTACATGGGACACAGATAAGTCGGTTTCAAGTGTGGCATAAAACATTCCTTGCGCCGAGAGCGGATAGTTGCACAGAAGTTGTCTCCCCTGGCTGTCAATGGACGAGTTCTATTCAACAGCGAGTTGACGCTCACATCGATGTAATGAACCACGGGGACACAAGAGTGTGTGAGTGAGTGAGTGAGAGAGTTAGTGAGTGAGAGAGAGAGGGAGAGTGAGTGAGTAAGTGAGTTAGCACCGTTTACAAAACACATATCAGACTTCAAATAAAATTAAATGCTCTAGCAATGTCCTGATTCCATGCATGTTCTTGGGCAATGCATGTAGTAATTGCCTCAATGTTAAGGTTAAGGCGAACTTGGCAAGATATACATATTTAAAAAACAATTTCCCGCATATGTCATTGCAGAACAGATACTAAATACAAATAGGATCTGGTAAGAGTAAGAGTTGGAATTATTATAAGTATCTTATCATAATGATAATACTTATAATTAGGTGTGCAAAATTGAGTTGGAGAATAGTTATATTTTCGTGGACTCGACACAAGACAGTGAGAGACAGTCACTCAGTCTCACTCGCTCAGTGCTGGTGTACCGAATGAATCGACCTTGAGCTGATCAGTCTTATTGTTTGCTTGAACAACGCCGTGAACAGCCTCTAGTTTACAGTTGGGAGAATTGGTTTCCCTTTAAATGAATTTTCTCGAAATAATAATGTTAAATTGAATTAAACAACAACAGGGAGTACTTAAGAAATAGAATATTTCATGTGTCTGAATTATGACATCGTGACATGAAAATATCCCGTGTTTCACGTCACTCAGTGGCAGACATATTTAGTTCACTAGACACATGAAATATCTTTTATCAGATAAATGAGTGTCAATACATGCAGGTTATGATCGCGAATGTCGAGTCAATACATTACACTATATATACGACGTGATCATTTATGAAGGATTGCCCGCTGACCATGCCAACCATTAACTAAAGTGGGAACCATACTACTGTACACGTGTCAGTGACGTGTCATGGCGGGTACAACCCCGGGATCAGGACCAGATTACCATTACCCATTGATATACTTGGTGATGTTTGTTGAAATTAATCATTTAGTTGAATACATATTATCTGTATTTACCCATAAACATATAGGACAAGGCTGACATCACAGCAGAACGAAAGTAGGGGTGCACCCTGAAAGATCTCCAACGTGGGCTTTTCCGTTACGCGGGCTGGTAGATCCCAAAACAGAACGGGTTTACTCAACCACCATCCGAATCCATTAAAAATGTTCATATTACGACTCTCTGTAATCAAGACGGTATTAACTCGTGATTGCAATTGTATAAGATTAAAGGGGTATAGAAAGGACACCACAATGACATTCTGAAGCGTTTTATATTCATAGGTACTGGAATTACCCGAGATTGTGCTGTAATCTACCCACACCTGGAAACCCATTCAGACAGTGGCACCCCTCATGAGTCATATCCTGTACATTGTGTTTATTGTGATAGAGAGTAAGCTAATAACAATTTGTCTCTGGTAGCGAATGTGTCACAGCAAATCTCACAATTGAATTTTCAAAAAGGTACTATGCTATTGGGTCAAAGTTCACTTATGTAGAAGTGACGTAAACAGGGATGGGGTTGTGCAATGTTCTGTGTTCGCTCAAAGGTAACATGACGTGTAAGCTATTCTTAACCACATTGGACATGCGCAGATAGCACTGGGTATCGCGTGATAAAGTCTTACATACAAGCGTTCATGCAGTTGCAGCCCGAAGAGCCGAAGGTAACAGTCGTCGCTGACGACGAGACATTTGGTTATGTTGTGTCTCCCATAGGCAGAGGTAAGTCTGTTTCTACATGGACACGATATAATAACCGTGTCTAGTAACATATTGTCAGTTAGTCAAGAACAATGTCATAAAGATACAAACCCGAATGATAAATGAACTTACATATCATAGTCTTAGAAACTACATTATATCAAGAAGCGCGATTTGGAATGAATATGAACCTTGTTTTTTTTATTCAATGAAGTTTTGTTTTTCAAAAGTATTCTTTTTCTGCAGGACAAGCATCAAGAACGACATGTGGTTCCGTCTGCTGACTGTGGCTGTTTCTCTGCTGGCAGTATTGTCATCCTTTGGTAAGTATGCAGGTCAGGATTTGTACTTCAAATTCTTTATAATAATAAAATCTAACATTTTGTATAACTGTTCCTCCTGTTCATAGCTGATTGTCATCACATTTTCGTTGCAGTCGAATCCGGGCGTTCATGTGAAACAGACGGTTGTGTCCATGGTAACGGCCTTTTGAAGTGCCAGTCGTGCGAGATTGGTTGTTGGGGACGAAACTGCAGTTCTCCATGCTGGGACAACTGTCACAAAGACGGATGTGACAGAAACACTGGACAATGCTTCCTGTGTAAACCAGGGTTTTATGGGGCACGGTGTGACATCTCGTGTTCGCAGAGTTGCTCAGCCAGTCATCAGGACGCTTTGTCATACTGCGATCAAGACACCGGTGAGTGTTATAAGACCTGTCAACGAGACTCAACTGACACAATCTGTGACGGGCGTTGTCCTCCCAATTGCAGGGATAACACATGTGATATAGTTACAGCAAAATGCGTGGTTGGGTGCGACTCGGGTTGGAACGGAGATTTCTGTAACAACTCCTGCAGCAACTGTCTGAGTGGAAGATGCAGCAGCAACGGTTATTGTCTAGATGGCTGCTCTCCAGGTTTCTATGGCCAGTTGTGTGAACGAACGTGCCCTCATTGCTGGTTTTCTGGCTGTGACAGACAGACTGGGGTCTGTGAACAGTGTCAGCCTGGGTACCATGGGATCCACTGTAACAAGAGGTGCCCTGACAAGTGTTACGCAGACCAAAGTGGTGACAAGAACTGTGACAGGGACAGTGGTAGATGTTCTCAAGGCTGTGAGACCGGGTGGCACGGGTCCCACTGTAAGACAAAGTGCAGTCCACACTGCAGATCTCAATGTCTGAGTATCGATGGTTCCTGTGTTGACGGCTGTGTAAAAGGACATTACGGCAAACATTGCCACAGTACATGTATAACTTGTAAAGACAATGACTGTGACCACCAAGGCCGCTGTAGGCAGTGTCCAGAGGGCGTTTATGGAGACAAGTGTGACCAGCCTTGTCCGTTGGACTGTGACACGTGTAATCGTGAGGGAAATTGTGTATATGCAATGAATACAGAACCCAGTAGTTCCGCTGCCTCCCTGTATTCTGACACAGTAGTAGCCCTCGGTTGCGTGTTGTACATAATTGCCACACGGGCTTAGGACCGACGTGATGGAACATTCGTTATGGCCGAGACCTTACCTCTTGAGTGTGAGGCACTTCAATCGGGTGTCTCTAGATTTCAAGTTTGGTAGAGTCTCGGCTGTACAATGGTTTATCTGAGGTCTGTTGATATTTTTCTGTATCTGAAATAAAAATAATTGTCATTAAATCTTTGTACATGTGTATATTTATGATATGACTGGTCTTTAATTCATATATATTTCTCTCAAGTTGGAATAAAATGTCAGAACATCACTTTTTCTTTGTTAAATTTAAGATTGGTTCTATGGTCTAGTAAGTGGAGTGTCCTCCGCGAAAAAGAAAGGTCGGGGATCGTCGTAGCAAACGTCATTAAGTATGGTGTTTGTAGTACCGTGCATGACCCTCGGCTTCATGGTATAAAACCAGTAGGCTCAGAGTTCTGTGTGTCCGAATAGGGATTCCACGTTTAACTGCGATATGATATCTCAGTGGGCTGACATTAGGCCCGACCACAAATGCACGCACACACGCACGTACGCACAGAAACACGAGCTGAAATGCATAAAATTGCTTGATGGTACAGAGAAATAAAAGGACTGAACGGAAAACAGAATACATGTAAGAATATATAATGGTTGATCCCAAAGAGACTGTTTAGTGGATCCGGTGGTCAGATCGCTGTGACTTGGGCTGTAAGCCCGTGATGTCGTTCAAGACATGCATAGTATTGGGCGTGTAGTTTATGACATGCATAGTACTGGGCGCAGTTTAGGACTTGCATAGTATTAAGCGTGCAGTTTAGGACAGTGTAGTTTGGGCGTGTAATTTAGGCCATGTATAGCACTGGGCGTATAGATTAGGGCATGTATTGTTTTGGACGTAGTTTAGGCCATGTATTGTTTTGGGTGTGTAGTTTAGGACATGTATTGTTTTGGGCGTGTAGTTTAGGACATGTATTGTTTTGGGCGGGTAGTTTAGGACATGTATTGTTTTGGGCGTAGTTTAGAACATGTATAGTATTGGGCGGGTAGTTTAGGACATGTATTATTTTGGGCGTGTAGTTTAGGACATGTAGAGTTTGGGTGTGCAGTTTAGGTAATGACATAGTATCGGGCTTATAGTTTAGGACATGTATAGTATTGGACGGTTAGTTTAGGTCATGTATTATTTGGGGTGGGTGGTTTAGGAACGTGTCGTTTGGGCGCGCCGTTTAGGACATGACATAGCATTGGGCGGCTAGTTTAGGATATGTATTATTTGGGCGGGTAGTTTAGGACATGTATAGTATTGGGTGGGTAGTTTAAGACAGTGGAGCTTTGGCGCAGTTTAGGACATGTGTAGTATTGGGCGGGTAGTTTTGGATATGTTTAGTATTGGGCGGGTAGTTAAGGACAGTGGAGCTTTGGCGGGTAGTTTAGGACAGTATAGTCTGGGCATGTAGTTTAGGACATTTGTAGTATTGGGTGGGTAGTTTTGGATATGTATAGCATTGGGCGGGTAGTTAAGGACAGTGGAGCTTTGACGGGTAGTTTAGGACAGTGGAGCTTTGGCGGGTAGTTTAGGACAGTGGAGTTTTGGCGTGCAGTTTAGGACATGTGTAGTATTGGGCGGGTAGTTTTGGATATGTATAGTATTCGGCGGGTAGTTAAGGACAGTGGAGCTTTGGCGGGTAGTTAAGGACAGTATAGTCTGACATGTAGTTTAGGACAGTGGAGCTTTGGGCCGGTAGTTAAGGACAGTGGAGCTTTGAGGGTAGTTTAGGACAGTGTAGTCTGGGCATGTAGTTTAGGACATGTGTAGCATTGGGCGGGTAGTTTAGGACAGTGGAGCTTTGGCGGGTAGTTTAGGACAGTGGAGCTTTGACGGATAGTTTAGGACAGTGGAGCTTTGGCGGGTAGTTTAGGACAGTGGAGCTTTTAGTGCAGTTTAGGACAGTGTCTTTGGGCATGTAGTTTAGGTCATGTATAGTACTGGGCGTAGATTAGGGCATGTATTGTTTTGGGCGGGTAGTTTAGGACATGTATTGCTTTGGGCATGTAGTTTAGAACATGTATAGTATTGGGCGTGTAGTTTAGGCCATGTATAGTATTAGGCGTGAAGTTTAGGCCATGTTTAGCATTGGGTGTGAAGTTTAGGCCATGTATAGCATTGGGCGTGTAGTTGACATGTATAGTATTATGTAGTATTATTAAGTGTAGTTAAGGACATGTGTAGTTTTGGAGTGCAGATTAGATTAGGACGTAATTTGGGCGCGTAGTTTAGGACATGCATATATTGGGCGTGCAATTTAGGACAGTGTAGTTTGGGCGTGTAGGTTAGGTCATGTATTGTTTTGGCGTGTAGTTGAGGACATGCATTGTTTTCGGCGCGTAGTGTAGGACATGTGTAATATTGGGGGCGTAGTTTAGGCCATGTGTTGTTTTGGGCGCGTAGTTTACGACATGTAGTTTTGGCGTGTAGTTTACGACATGTCGTTTAGGACGTGTAAGACGTGTAGGTCGGAACATGCGCGTAGTGTACGACACGTGTAGTTTAAAACGTAAAATTAATGTGATGTCTACTATGGTTTAGGGAATGGGAAGCTTACGATATTAGCAGAATAAGCCATGTTTAGTTTAGGACGTGTGTAGTGTAGTTCTCTTGAAAATATATTTGACAGTACTGGTGACTATATAATCTGCCTACAGATACAGATATCAAGGAAGCAGTTGTCGAGTGCAGATTTAGTAATGCAATGAAATAATGAATTACAGCAAAAACCTTGACATATTATAAACAACTGTCGACGGAGTCAACTGTTCGCATGTTCATGAATTACTATGAAATAGTGACGACCCTGATAGTTTCCGAAAAGCATAACCCTCCCCTTCACGTGTACAACCCACGTCACGCCATCAGCCATTTATTGCGGGTATCTGGTAATGTAAGAAAAGCTGGCAGGTAGCCAAGCTGTTTCGTACATGTCTATATACAGTCTTCCTAATTACATAAAGTATCTATTGTTACCGATATCAGGGTACAAGGCCACTTTCTCTGAGTTTACTCGTAAACACTTGAACACACTGCCGTATCCGAGTAAACAAGAATAGCCTAACCGCTTTATGTGTTGCTCATGAAGTATTTAGGGGTCACGTCTTGGGTCACATCAGGTACACTTTGCTACAGGTTAACTGACGGACTATCGTCATGGTTGTTGACTTTATGAATAAGCCCGTAGTGGAGTTGCCTGCAGACTATTGTTCAGATTGACTCAGATTTAAACAAAGGAGCAGTTGTGGATGCATCACCCAAGCGTGCTGAACAAAAGACGAAATATGGCGGCATACTTAAAATACATGTGCATAGTTCTTACAAACTGCTGAGGATGGGAGACACAGATGTCGTTCCCGTGCTGCATTTCGCTGTGCAGAGATCTGCATCAAAATGTCGTCACACTGACACGCCTTGGTATACCAGTGACTGAGCGAGTTTAGTTTTACGCCGCACTCAGCAATATTCCAGCTATATGACAGTAGTTTGTAAATAATCGAGTCGGGACCAGACAATCCAGTGATCAACATAATGAGCATCGATCTACGCAATTCGGATACGATGACATGTGTCAACCAAGTCAGAGAGCCTGACCACCCGATCCCGTTAGTCACCTCGTGAGTTATACAAGCATGGGTTACTGAAGATCAATTCTAACCCGGATCTTCACGGGTCGTGATATACCAGGATTACTGTCAACAAGCAGTTCTAAACACAACTAATTCACAATGAAATGATTATATAACTCGGCTACAGCAGACTGTCTGTACTCGTTGTCGTGTCAGTCGACAGGTTAGCATGTGTCCAGCTAGTCCAGGACAGCCTGCAAATATTATTGGACCAGGAAAACCATAGGTGATAATATATATCCAAGTCCCTTGGGGTCTGAACACATACAATCATGCAAGTCCGGGGAGTCTGACAACCCAGCCCCATGTTAGCAAGAACGTAATACAAGGTATTGAGTCTCAACTTCATTCAGGTTGACATTCAAAACCGTACTGTAGTTCATTATTTGCTGAGTGACATTCAGTACTAAATTAAATGTCAAAATGAGCCATTTGATACCATGTTTCACCTAGGTACAGTGGCTGTTTCATTGATTTTGGACATGACAAGCACCAAGCAGGGGGTTCTTTTTTTGCTGTGGGCCTGTGGCATGTACGATGATCAGAAAGCGAATCAAAATATTCCTTGCGCTGTGGTTTTCCAATCCCTGAGATCACAGGTTTGAATCCCAGATTTACAGTGGTGATTCTTCTAGACATTGTGCGCGTATCATGAACCGAAAACCATCTCGAGCATCCTCTATTTCGTAAATACAGTGTGTAATGCAATCAGTTCATCGACAGGTCTTTCATTTCACATGGAGGGTAAACTTTCTGATAAAACGTAGTAGAAAACATAATCCCTTGAAAATATGAAGGTGGGGTGAGGTGAAATAGGGTTTAACGTCTCACTTAAGAATATTTCGCTCATATGACGACGTGCATGCGTGTGTATGTGTATGTGCGGCTGCTTGTACTAGCCCAGACTTAAGCTGGTTTTATAGTGCTAATATAACAGCGCCTTGTTTGCGTCCGTTACAGAATACAAACGGCTGTGGGTTGGGAGGCCGATACGTTTATTACTGGTCTATTTATTAAACAGCCAGGCTGGTTGTACCCAAGCTGATCATAATGGATATTCTTCTGTGAATGATCACACTCACAGATCTTAAATCGTCATAAAATTCCAATGACTCTGGCTATATGTCTGCTTCAAAAGTACAAGACGGCATCTGAGTTTAAAATCTGAACATTGTAGTTAAGCTGTGGCCAGCTTGGCCTATTAGTAAAACAATAGAAATGACTGGGAGCTGGAGCAAAGAGTGTTGAAAGCATGCAGTGTGACAATTAGTGGAGGTTAGACTAAGAGTTACAAGGCTTACTATGCAGAGCTATGGACTAAGAGTAAAATAAAGTATAAAACATAACTAAGATTCTTACAGGTGTTCTTATTGTTTAGTCATTAAGTGGAAACAATGCCATCCACCTTGATACTTAATATCATCTTCCTAACTAAAACCTATGTACATATATATATATTTGAGTCTGCCACACTAACCCACTGAGATACCATGCCGCAGTGAAGCTATGAATACCCCACTCAGACACATTATACTGACTCCGAGCCGACCAGTCCTTGTTGTACCCATTAATGCCGAGCGCCAGGCAGGGACCAACAAGTACCATATTTTAACGTCTTTTGGTATGACGCGGTCGGGGATCGAACCCGGCGACCTTCCGCTCTCCGGGCGGACGCTCTAACCAGTACACCACGGAGGCAATCCCTTGAAAATATGAAGGTGGGGTGAGGTGAAATAGGGTTTAACGTCGCACTTAAGAATATTTCGCTCATATGACGACTTGCATGCGTAAGTGTGACATGCTTGTACTCAGCCCAGACCCAATCTGTTTAGTGCTAGCTCACTGATCACGAGATACCATGTCGCAGTGAAGCATGAATACCCCACTCAGACACACATCATATTGAGTCCAAGCCGACCGGTCCTTGACGTACCCATTAATGCCAAGTACCAGACAGGGACCAAAAGTACCATATTTAACCTCTTTTGGTATGACGTGGCCGGGGATCGAACCCGCGACCTTACGCTATCCTGACGGACGCTCTAACCACTACACCACGGAGGCGGTCTCTTGAAAATATGAAACAGTCAGGGTATGATATTATTCAATTTATTACATTTATTGTGGAACATATCACTTACATAATACATTCAAGAGTGAGGTATAGAATGTAGCACCATTTAGAATCTATATTTTGGCACGATGAGCCCCACTGTTTGACAGAGTATCCCGAGTATTTAGAAGTATAACGCAGCTCCTTTCTTCAACTGGCTCTAACGGTTTGGAATGCAAACCAACACCAACAGACCTCCAGTCTGGGTTGATGAGTGCTTTCTGTATTGATGACAAACTGACAAACATGAAACAAGGAATTACATCTCAACATTGACTCTTAATCTGCAAAATGTATGCAGTCATTGTGCTGCAGCAAAAATAGAAATATTTTGTATGACACAAGCTTCAAATCTGAGCCTGTTATGCTGTCGAGGGAGGTAAAGTTTCCTTGATGTCAAACATTTCCATCTGTTACATATGGTTGGTAAGACCAACTCAGCAGCAAAATATGTGGAGGTAGGAGTCCTGGCTGAAACCTGACTAAAAATGAAACACTGAGGTACTGGGCACTGAATACAAGAGCTAATACTTTCAGGCAATACTGTCAATAAAATGCAAATAAACCAATAGTACATGGATAGCCAAGGACCAACAGTACATGGATAGCCAAGGACCAACAGTACATGGATAGCCAGGACCAACAGTCCATGGATAGCCAGGACCAACAGTCCATGGATAGCCAAGGACCAACAGTCCATGGATAGCCAAGGACCAACAGTACAAGGATAGCCAAAGGACCAACAGTACATGGATAGCCAAGGACCAACAGTACATGGATAGCCAAGGACCAACAGTACAAGGATAGCCAAGGACCAACAGTACAAGGATAGCCCAGGACCAACAGTACATGGATAGCCAAGGACCAACAGTACAAGGATAGCCAAGGACCAACAGTACATGGATAGCCAAGGACAAACAGTACATGAATAGCCAAGGACCAACAGTATATGGATAGCCAAGGACCAACAGTCCAGTATGTGAACAGCCTTTCATCTCAACATCTGGTTCTACACTACAAGTCAAAACCACACCAAGCATCAAAAGTTCATTCCAAAAGTACAGGTATTTGTGCATCATCTTTGCCATTCCTGACATATTATTTTGTCCAGGTCAACACACACATCAACACACCTGTCAACACACGATAATAATACCCCTTGAGCAATTCTAAATACTTTCTATGCTTTCAAGCAATGTGAATTACAGATAAAAACTTTTATCAGACAGGCTTGTCATTGAAAAGAACATTACTAACAGTATCATATCTTTAATATTATAAATATTATAACAATAAAACATAAAAAATCAACAAAATTTAACCGAGTCCTGAGAAGATGTATTATGTTTTATTGTGGTGCACCAAGTCTGACCCATCAGTCATCAGTCAAAACCAGAATAGCTTGTTGGGTCTAATTCTAACCAGGAAACATCACAGTGATACAACATGTCATCAAGCAACTTTGAACGGTTTATTAGTTATAGTCAACAAAATGAAATCCTCATTCTCCAACTTGTAATTACCATGTTTTTACATGTAAAATCAAAACAAAATAATAAAGCACTTTCCGGATGTGGATACAGGTTCACAGACATGTTAAACGATTAAGAGCCTTGCCCTTATTCGAAATCAAGTCAAACATGTTGCCTTGGAAATGCTGCCAATTATTCCTGGAAACGAAAGGTCAGAAACCATTATAACAGCAAAAGGCATGACTACAGTTTTTGATGGATGTGTGTACTAAGTTTGTAAATGTATGCCTACTAGTTTTCAATATCTCTCCAGAAATAATTGTAAGACACATGGAACTTATTTCAATATTATCCATTCCAAGAAAAATATAACAAAGAATTAATCATACACTGATGAAATTATGCACTTTAGTTTGTCTCCTAAAGAATCGGGTTGGGGAGAGGAGACTTCAGATGTATCAGATTTGCAATGTTTGTAATGGAGGTTAAGACACATCACTGATTACATTATAACTCCATTCTGTTAAAGTACTATCCAAGAGACACCTTCCATCACAGTATAGTTCCAAAGAGTCATGACCTGTGAAGATCAGGGTTAGAATTGATCTTCAGTAACCTATGCTTGTCATAAGAGGCGACTAACAGGATTGGGTGGTCAGGCTTGCTGACTTGGTTGACACATGTCATCGTATCCCAATTGTGTAGTACGATACTCATGCTGTTGACCACTGGATTGTCAGGTCCAGACTCGATTATTTACAGACAGTCGCCATATAGCTGGAATATCACAGCGCTTAACAACAATCAATCAGTCAGTCAATCACAATAATCAAAAAGAGGTGGAGACGACACTTCCTCACTGGAGGCTTGTTGGCAGCCCATTGATCCAGAGGTGGTTTCAAAACACGATCAAGAACAGCTACACTGGATATATGAGCATAACTAAGACAATAAGGAACTTACTGCATAAGTAAACTAATAATACAACCAACTACTCCTCAAATGTGAATAATTTACGCAAAATTAGAGGATTATAAGAATTAAGACAAATCTACAAGACTTTCCAACGGTTCACTGACTGAGACCTGCACATGTTCTCCATGTAAAATTCTTTAATTATCCCCACTGCAGAATGGATCTGTCTGCAACGAAGTTGCCTTTAGGGGATGTGGTGTTTGGGGGCAAGAGTGCCAGATACACCATGGTGTCAGCACCTGGAACAAATATGTCTGGGATATGAATCCTTACATCATAATGCAACAGACAACTATATTTTATTACAGTCATGTCAATCAAAGTTTATTGTCAATCTACATAAAGCAGTGATTCACAACATCAGCAACATTTGCAACTGATCATGTGGGTATCATCCAGGTGCACAAAAATAGACAAACACTGGGTAACTCAGGTATAGATGAGGAAACAAGCACTGAAGGACCATGATGTATTCTACATGTGGGCTCCTTTCCACAAAGCCATTGTAGGACTTTGAAAGTCATAAATCTATGTTAAAGTATGGGCATTGCAATGATCACCGTAGTGCTACGACAGTCATAAATCTATGTTAAAGTATGGGCATTATCATCGTAGTGCTACGACAGTCATAAGTATATGTTAAAGTATGGACATTACAATCATCGTAGTGCTACGACAGTCATAAATCTATGTTAAAGTATGGGCATTATGATCATCGTAGTGCTACAACAGTCATAACTCTATGTTAAAGTATGGGCATTACGATCATCGTAGTGCTATGACAGTCATAAATCTATGTTAAAGTATGGGCATTACGATCATCCTAGTGCTATGACAGTCATAAATCTATGTTAAAGTATGGGCATTATGATCATCATAGTGCTACAACAGTCATAAGTCTATGTTAAAGTATGGGCATTACGATCATCGTAGTGCTACGACAGTCATAGGTCTATGTTAAAGTATGGGCATTACGATCATCCTAGTGCTACAACAGTCATAAATCTATGTTAAAGTATGGGCATTACGATCATCCTAGTGCTACAACAGTCATAAATCTATGTTAAAGTATGGGCATTACGATCATCGTAGTGCTACAACAGTCATAAGTCTATGTTAAAGTATGGGCATTACGATCATCGTAGTGCTACAACAGTCATAAGTCTATGTTAAAGTATGGGCATTACGATCATCATAGTGCTACGACAGTCATAAGTCTATGTTAAAGTATGGGCATTACGATCATCCTAGTGCTGATCGACAGTCATAAATCTATGTTAAAGTATGGGCATTACGATCATCCTAGTGCTACGACAGTCATAAATCTATGTTAAAGTATGAGCATTACGATCATCGTAGTGCTACAACAGTCATAAGTCTATGTTAAAGTATGGGCATTATGATCATCGTAGTGCTACGACAGTCATAACTCTATGTTAAAGTATGGGCATTATGATCATCGTAGTGCTATGACAGTCATAAATCTATGTAAAAGTATGGGCATTATGATCATCGTAGTGCTGCGACAGTCATAAGTCTATGTTAAAGTATGGGCATTACAATCATCGTAGTGCTACAACAGTCATAAATCTATGTTAAAGCATGAGCATTACAATCATCGTAGTGCTCCAACAGTTATAAGTCTATGTTAAAGTATGGGCATTATGATCATCGTAGTGCTACAACAGTCATAAGTCTATGTTAAAGTATGGGCATTACGATCATCCTAGTGCTACAACAGTCATAAGTCTATGTTAAAGTATGGGCATTATGATCATCCTAGTGCTACAACAGTCATAAGTCTATGTTAAAGTATGGGCATTATGATCATCGTAGTGCTACGACAGTCATAAGTCTATGTTAAAGTATGGGCATTACAATCATCGTAGTGCTACGACAGTCATAAATCTATGTTAAAGCATGGGCATTACGATCATCGTAGTGCTACAACAGTCATAGGTCAATGTTAAAGTATGGGCATTACGATCATCCTAGTGCTACAACAGTCATAAGTCTATGTTAAAGTATGGGCATTACGATCATCCTAGTGCTACAACAGTCATAAATCTATGTTAAAGTATGGGCATTACGATCATCGCTAGTGCTACAACAGTCATAGGTCTATGTTAAAGTATGGGCATTATGATCATCCTACTGCTGCAACAACAGTCATAAATCTATGTTAAAGTATGGGCATTACGATCATCGTAGTGCTACAACAGTCATAAATCTATGTTAAAGTATGGGCATTACGATCATCCTAGTGCTACAACAGTCATAAGTCTATGTTAAAGTATGGGCATTATGATCATCGTAGTGCTACAACAGTCATAAATCTATGTTAAAGTATGGGCATTATGATCATCCTAGTGCTACAACAGTCATAAATCTATGTAAAAGTATGGGCATTATGATCATCGTAGTGCTATGACAGTCATAACTTCTATGTTTAAGTATGGGCATTATGATCATCGTAGTGCTATGACAGTCATAAATCTATGTTAAAGTATGGGCATTACGATCATCCTAGTGCTGCGACAGTCATAGGTCTATGTTAAAGTATGGACATTACGATCATCCTAGTGCTACGTCACCTTGTGGAACGGGCCACAAGCACTGAGGCAACAAGCCCATGGTATCCTTGTATAAATTCATGTGTGGATCAACACAGGAAGATGAGCCATGTATTTTGTACATTGTTTTATTCTCGCAACAAGTCTGCATAACTCACCTTCATCAATATTCCTTGGGCCTGTATGACTCGACATATCTGTTTGCACATGGCCAGGACAGCACTGGGAAGGGGACAAAAGACATCATCATCATCATCATCATCATCATCATTATCATCATCGTCGTCATCATCGTAATATTCTATAGGAGGTAGAGAGCTCACCTTTGTCAATACTGTGAATGAGAGCCTACAAAGTACAATGATCACTGATTTCTGTAAGATTGGCCAAAATATCGATTGTCACTGACATTCATGTATGGAGGGTATTGCATCTAGGTAATATATCTGATTATACTGAGATTGCTAATTCACTTACTGAGTTGATGACAATGTCCTCTCTCGGGTCCTTCCTGATGTCTCTATCCTGAATGACAGTCATGAAGTTCTTCCCGATCTTGGAGGTACCATACGCTGACTTTGGAAACCCCTCTTCAAGATGTCTACCTGCCTTCGCAGCACTGACAATGTACAATACATCATTGAAAGTGCTGTAAACCAAACTTATTCCTGACACAATATCGGTAACGCCATACAGGGAACATACACATGGACTAACATGTCAGTTTATTCCAGTACTTGGCTTGCCAATGAACAACCACATCATCCATGTTTATCATATAACACACTGATGTCATAATGTCATTGACTTCACACCAAGTTTGTTTATGGTTGTGATATTTCATAAGAATTTATTTATTTTCTATTCTAGGAAGTTGGCCTCAAACTCTAATCCTCTTAGTCACTTCAAAACATTGTTATTCACAGCTTAAAGAGCAGAAAGTCTAAAATGACTATGACATATATAACACTCCCATACTAGTCATATTGCTTTCTAAAACCAAAAATATTTGAAAACAGTTTCAGCTCGATTTTATGGTCAGAAACTGCTGCACATATCAAGTCTTCAAAAAAATCATTTTCGGTTATGTACTGAAAGAATACAATATATTCAATAAGAAATTACGAGCTACTGTTGTCATTGTTTATTTATTTGTGTTGTTTAAAGCTTCACTCCACAATATTCCAGCTATACGATGACAAACAATATAATCAACATGAAAATATTCAGAGCCACTGTTGCCATTGATTCACTGTTGAGTACATACATAGCTGACTTACTCTACAAACTCTTGCATGATCTTCTCCAGTCCTTCCATTGTGAGGGTAGGGTCCTTGAAGCGACCTTGAACGGCAGGGGAACACTGATCGATAGCTGTGTGAGCTAGCACGCTGGACACAGAAACAACCCTGCCAAACATAATCAGCATGTTTCACGGTAGGTATATGCCCCTCCAGGATTACAGGAGTAAAGTAAACATATGGAAAAGAACCAAGTTTCACCTCTCTTGGACCTGCAGCCTTGTCCAGAGTAATGGCAGGATTAGGTTATGTATTGAATATAATTTCCTTCAGCAATACTGCAGCTGTTTGATCATGAGTCAGGATCAAACAAACACTGATCAAATCCTTACCAACACTGGAGTATGATGTATTTAACCAAGTGACCTAACCACCATTTAATGACCTTTGTTGACCACTACTACCAGGTATATTGTAGCCCCGGATCCCCAGATGGTTCATACTCTCCTTGCTCATCCCCATACTCAGTATCCATCCTTGCAGGTTTCCTAGGCTACTGGTAAAGGTGTTGACACAAAATAACAAACCCTTTAAGTGTTTCATACCTCACTGACTAGTGGACTAAAGTTCCCATGTTCAGGCCTGGTGGATATTGTACTCATGCTACTAGCCCAGCAGATAAGTGATCAAATTGTGCACTTTGTGTTACAAGCATGAAATTTGGCATGATTGTAGCTTATACCCTTCTTATTAAATAAAGATCGAGAGGCCTCGCCGATTTTTTATATTGTTCATAATTTTGGGGGGAAAAGTGAAAAAAATCATTTTTTCTACTATTTTCATCATAACTTCTTTTAAAATTCTCCAATTCTCATAAGTCATATATCAAATTGTAGGAAATTTATAGCTGATCATTTTCCATCTATACATGCATTTTTATCTTTAATTGTTAGGTCTACGGAAGTGAATATATATCATGACTACCCGTAAAATAAGTATACACATCAATAAAATAACTTTTTCCCCAAACATTATGAAAAATATAAAAAATCTGCGAGGCCTCTCGATCTTTATTTAATAAGAAGGGTATAAGCTACAATCATGCCAAATTTCATGCTTGTAACACAAAGTGCACAATTCAGTGAAAAAACTGCACTTATCCGCTGGGCTACCTAGTAATATGACACTGAATAAACTTACATTCTTCAGAACATTGTGAATACACCCTGATAGAACAGATGTCATATGTGAGCAGGTACTTGTCTATGTATCTACTAGTGTTTGATTCCACCAGGTGTTTGTCTACTGCATCTACCAGTGTCTGGTGTGACAAGGTGCTGTCTAATGCATCCACCAGTATCTGATGTGACCAGGTACTTGTCTACTGCACTGCATGTAACAATGCCTGATGTGACTAGGTACTTGTCTAATGCATCCACCAGTGCCTGATGTGACTAGGTACTTGTCTACTGCATGTAACAATGTCTGGTGTGACCAGGTGCTTGTCTACTGCATCTACCAGTGTCTGGTGTGACCAGGTGCTTGTCTAATACATCTACCAGTGTCTGGTGTGACCAGGTGCTTGTCTAATGCATGTAACAATGTCTGGTGTGACCAGGTGCTTGTCTAATGCATGTAACAATGTCTGGTGTGACCAGGTGCTTGTCTACTGCATGTAACAATGTCTGATGTGACCAGGTGCTTGTCTAATGCATCCTCCAGTGTCTGATGTGACCAGGTGCTTGTCTAATGCATGTAACAATGTCTGATGTGACCAGGTGCTTGTCTAATGCATGTAACAGTGTCTGATGTGACCAGGTGCTTGTCTACTGCATGTAACAATGTCTGATGTGACCAGGTGCTTGTCTACTGCATGTAACAATGTCTGATGTCACCAGGTGCTTGTCTACTGCATGTAACAATGTCTGATGTGACCAGGTGCTTGTCTAATGCATCTACCAATGTCTGATGTGACCAGGTGCTTGTCTACTGCATGTAACAATGTCTGATGTGACCAGGTGCTTGTCTACTGCATGTAACAATGTCTGATGTCACCAGGTGCTTGTCTAATGCATCCACCAGTGTCTGATGTGACCAGGTGCTTGTCTAATGCATCCACCAATGTCTGATGTGACCAGGTGCTTGTCTACTGCATGTAACAATGTCTGATGTGACCAGGTGCTTGTCTAATGCATGTAACAATGTCTGATGTGACCAGGTGCTTGTCTACTGCATGTAACAGTGTCTGATGTGACCAGGTGCTTGTCTACTGCATGTAACAATGTCTGATGTGACCAGGTGCTTGTCTAATGCATCCAACAATGTCTGATGTGACCAGGTGCTTGTCTAATGCATCCACCAATGTCTGATGTGACCAGGTGCTTGTCTACTGCATGTAACAATGTCTGATGTGACCAGGTGCTTGTCTACTGCATGTAACAGTGTCTGATGTGACCAGGTGCTTGTCTAATGCATCCTCCAGTGTCTGATGTGACCAGGTGCTTGTCTACTGCATGTAACAATGTCTGATGTCACCAGGTGCTTGTCTACAATGCATGTCTAATGCAATGTCTGATGTAACAATGTCTGATGTCACCAGGTGCTTGTCTACTGCATGTAACAATGTCTGGTGTGACCAGGTGCTTGTCTAATGCATGTAACAATGTCTGATGTGACCAGGTGCTTGTCTAATGCATCCACCAGTGTCTGATGTGACCAGGTGCTTGTCTACTGCATGTAACAATGTCTGATGTGACCAGGTGCTTGTCTACTGCATGTGTCTGATGTCACCAGGTGCTTGTCTACTGCATGTAACAATGTCTGATGTGACCAGGTGCTTGTCTACTGCATGTAACAATGTCTGATGTGACCACCAGGTACTGCATGTAAGCAATGTCTGATGTGACCAGGTACTTGTCATGTAACAATGTCTGATGTGACCAGGTGCTTGTCTAATGCATCCACCAATGTCTGATGTGACCAGGTACTTGTCTACTGCATGTAACAATGTCTGATGTGACCAGGTGCTTGTCTACTGCATGTAACAATGTCTGATGTCACCAGGTGCTTGTCTAATGCATCCACCAGTGTCTGATGTGACCAGGTGCTTGTCTAATGCATCTACCAGTGTCTGATGTGACCAGGTGCTTGTCTATGCATCTACCAGTGTCTGATGTGACCAGGTGCTTGTCTATGTATCTACCAGTGTCTGATGTGACCAGGTGCTTGTCTATGTATCTACCAGTGTCTGATGTGACCAGGTGCTTGTCTATGCATCTAACAGTGTCTGATGTGACCAGGTGCTTGTCTATGTATCTACCAGTGTCTGATGTGACCAGGTGCTTGTCTATGCATGCATAACAGTCTGATGTCTGATGTACCAGACCAGGTGCTTGTCCAGAAGTTGGTTTTACAGGTAAATTCAGCTTGCTCAGCAAACGGTGCTGGGTCAGCATTCTGGAATAGAAAACATTTACAGTCATCCTCTGAAAAGATTTACAGTCCTCCCGAGACATGAACAGTACAATTTCTCAAAACCAGTAAAAGGCATACCATATTATCATCATTCTGTAACTTTAGCTGTACTTTAAACCAGTTAGCCCTACGACATGCTGTCACTGTTACACTCTGTTTCCCCAAACAGGTCAAATCTCAAACCAAGCGTGTAAAAACAACTCTAAAACAACTTTCTGACTGAGCATCTGAGAATGATCTCAGTTTACTTAATCAACACAAGGTAAGCAGCTTCCATTTCCAATTTAAATGCTTCATTATCTGCAAATTGTGTCAACAAGACGGAAGGTGCACCTATCTTATTTCTGGATTGGTCAAGAGGAGGTGAAATTGGACTGAGAAGGAGAGGCTGCCTTTTGTGGAGGAGGTGCATCAGCAACACCAGCACATACTTGCAAAATCCAAAGGGTGTGACCTGGGCATGAGATATCTTCTGCAAATGGGGGGAAAGCTTTTTTCTGCAAGTCTTTGGTTACAGCACCTTCCTCAATTCCATTTTCAAAAGATCAAAGCGCTCTGCTTATTTTATTGACTTGTCACAGAAGTATATTATTTTACCCTGTATGCAATTCCAGCATTGTTGACCAGAACATCTAATCCCCCGTAGGTGGACAGTAGGAAGGACTTCAGCCGCTCTATGCTTGACCGGTCATTGATGTCCAGCTGATGGAACTTGGGCTGGAGGCCTTCCTTGTTTAGGTCAGCAATGGCGGCCTGGCCACGACCTTCATCCCGAGCTGCAAGGTACAACAACATGAAGATGGATATAACCTTGAAACTCGGCATGGCGCTGACTAACCTTTGCTCATCAGTAGAGTTAATTTGGATCCGAACTCCCAACTATGTTCTGGGGATTCTTGCAAAAATAGAGAGATTCAAAATGTGCAACCTTAGACAACTGTCCTCAATAACAGAATCTATGTATGACATTCAAGCACACTTGAAGTCCTAGAAACTCTCAGGAGTCAAGCTGCCAAACATGGTCACCCATTCAAGAACTCTCTACACCACGGCCTGTACACCCAATGCTGCTTAACTTCAACTGATTTGTGACCTGAGCTCTATGCACATGACCACACACCACCACATATTTCTCTCACACACCAACACATTGCTATGTTTGAAATATAATGAAACATCTTAACACCAGCCTTCAATCCTGGTTACACACCACGATACTGGTGTCTTTATAAGGAACCCATGAGAGAAGATGGCTTCTTGGAGACAACAGGGCCTGGTATGATGGAAATCCACTAGAAATGAGGGCTGGCTAAAATATTCGCTAATAAAATATATTGCTAATGAGAAGTCAATATAAAATGGTCATCAATAATATCGTACAATAACTACTGAGATGAAACAAAGATGTAACTAACACACACAGTAAACACATTTATGTCTTTATTCATGCGCTGCTTCTAACTTATGTTCAGGACACTGTTTTTGGTGGTTACCAATGCATAAATGTCACCATTCACCAGTGATCTGAAATATGCCGACTTTTTTCACACATTTCTGGCATGTTTGCTCAAACAGGGGTGGAAATAACCTTAAAATTGCTAGTGTACGCCGGTACAGTGGAACATGTAAAATCACTTGCCCTGAGAATTTTTCCACTATACCGGCCGATTTTTCTGTTCATTTTTTAAATAAACAACATAATTAACGTTGGAAAGTCAACTGGACACCGGTACAGCGTGATATACCAATTTGCTTGCCCGACAGAAAAAAACACTGGACTGAGTTTCTTAACGATTATCGATCTCTATAAGTTATATCGACAACCAGCCCTACATGACATACATTGGACTAGTTACCTGTCAGGAAGACATCACCATCAAAGCTTTTACACAGCCCTCTCACAACAGCAAACCCAATGCCCTTGTTGGACCCTGTCACCTGGAACAGAGAACACGTCTTACCTCATTCTAGGTCCACAGTACCCCATGTTATACTGGGTCCACCTCTACCCTCAGGTCTTAGGTTCGAAAAAGTCAATTGTAACCCAGTTAGAATAGGTCAACTGAACCCTGGTTTGACTAGGTTCACCTGTACCCTGGGTTAGACTAGGTCCACCGGTACCCTGGTTTCACTAGGTCCACCTGTACCTTGGGTTAGAATAGGTCCACCTGTATCCTGGGTTTGACGAGGTCCACCTGTACCCTGGGATAGACTAGGTTCACCTGTACCCTGGGTTAGAATAGGTCCACCTTTACCCTGGGTTTGACTAGGTCCACCTGTACCCTGGGTTAGACTAGGTCCACCTGTACCTTGGGTTAGACTAGGTCCACCTGTACCCTGGGTTACACTAGGTCCTCCTGTATCCTGGGTTACCCTGGGTTACACTAGGTCCACCTGTATCCTGGGTTTAGGTCCACCTGTATCCTTCGTTTGACTAGGTCCACCTGTATCCTGGGTTACACTTGGTCAACCTGTATCCTGGGTTTAGGTCCACCTGTATCCTGGGTTTGACTAGGTCCACCTGTATCCTGGGTTAGACTAGGTCCCCCCGTATCCTGGGTTTAGGTCCACCTGTATCCTGGGTTACACTTAGTCCACCTGTATCCTGGGTTTGACTAGGTCCACCTGTATCCTGGGTTACACTTGGTCCACCTGTATCCTGGGTTTAGGTCCACCTGTATCCTGGATTTGACTAGGTCCACCTGTATCCTGGGTTACACTTGGTCCACCTGTATCCTGGGTTTAGGTCTACCTGTATCCTTGGTTTGACTAGGTCCACTACTGTATCCTGGGTTTGGATTAGGGTTCACCTGTATCCTGGGTTACACTTGGTCCACCTGTATCCTGGGTTACACTAGGTCCACCTGTATCCTGGGTTACACTTGGTCCACCTGTATCCTGGGTTACACTTGGTCCACCTGTATCCTGGGTTACACTTGGTCCACCTGTATCCTGGGTTTTGACTAGGTCCACCTGTATCCTATGGGCCACACTAGGTCCACCTGCATCCTGGGTTAGCACTTGGTCCACCTGTATCCTGGCTTTTGATCTTGGTCCACCTGTATCCTGGGTTACACTAGGCCCACCTGTATCCTGGGTTACACTTGGTCCACCTGTATCCTGGGTTACACTTGGTCCACCTGTATCCTGGGTTACACTAGGTCCACCTGTATCCTGGGTTACACTAGGTCCACCTGTATCTAGGTTACACTTGGTCCACCTGTATCCCCAAGTTACACTTGGTCCACCACCTGTATCCTGGGTTACACTAGGTCCACCTGTATCCTGGGTTACACTTGGTCCACCTGTGCTCCTGGGTTTGACTAGGTCCACCTGTATCCTGGGTTTGACTAGGTCCACCTGTATCCTGGGTTACACTTGGTCCACCTGTATCCTGGGTTACACTAGGTCCACCTGTATCCTGGGTTACACTTGGTCCACCTGTATCCTGGGTTACACTTGGTCCACCTGTATCCTGGGTTTGACTAGGTCCACCTGTATCCTGGGTTTGACTAGGTCCACCTGTATCCTGGGTTACACTAGGTCCACCTGTATCCTGGGTTACACTTGGTCCACCTGTATCCTGGGTTTGACTTGGTCCACCTGTATCCTGGGTTACACTAGGCCCACCTGTATCCTGGGTTACACTTGGTCCACCTGTATCCTGGGTTACACTTGGTCCACCTGTATCCTGGGTTACACTAGGTCCACCTGTATCCTGGGTTACACTAGGTCCACCTGTATCCTGGGGGTCCACCTGTATCCTGGCCACACTTGGTCCACCTGTATCCCAGAGCCACACTAGGTCCACCTGTATCCTGGGTTACACTTGGTCCACCTGTATCCTGGGTTTGACTAGGTCCACCTGTATCCTGGGTTTGACTAGGTCCACCTGTATCCTGGGTTACACTTGGTCCACGGTATGCTTGTTACACTAGGTCCCATCCTGGGTTACACTTGGTCCACCTGTATCCTGGGGTTTGACTAGGTCCACCTGTATCCTGGGTTTGACTAGGTCCACCTGTATCCTGGGTTACACTTGGTCCACCTGTATCCTGGGTTACACTAGGTCCACCTGTATCCTGGGTTACACTAGGTCCACCTGTATCCTGGGTTACACTTGGTCCACCTGTATCCTGGGTTTGACTAGGTCCACCTGTATCCTGGGTTTGACTAGGTCCACCTGTATCCTGGGTTTGACTAGGTCCACCTGTATCCTGGGTTTGACTAGGTCCACCTGTATCCTGGGTTACACTTGGTCCACCTGTATCCTGGGTTACACTAGGTCCACCTGTATCCTGGGTTACACTAGGTCCACCTGTACCCTGGTGTTATCCCAGCAGTACAAGCATTTTCAGATTTCTGATGCATGGATGGTGTGTTGACTGATCTGATGTTGATCACATTTCAGTGTTTCGTATCTTCATATTTAATCGTGTTATTTAATCATGTCATCTCAATTGACGTGTAATATTAAAAACACAAATCTGATATATTTGAAGCTGTAAATGTATTCAATCCCATTTTGCCATTGCTATAATTTGAAAAAAAAACACCTACATGAATATGTTCCTACAATTTTTTACTGTAGTACACAGCAAATGCTTGCATGCATTAAATATGCTACTATGAAGTTCCGTCGGTATGCTTAAAACAGTGGCGACCCTTTAGCAACTAAATAACATACAATACCAGGGGTGGAAATAACCCATTGCCCGACGTCCGAGTCCAGTGTTTTTTCTGTCGGTCAGAGCAAATTTGTATATCACACTGTACCGGTGTCCAGTTGACTTTCCAATGTTAATTATGTTGTTTATTTTAAAAAACTCAACAAGAAAACGGACGGTATAGTGGAAAAATTCTCAGGGCAAGTGATTTTACATGTGCCACTGTACCGGAGTACACTGGCAAGTTTAAAGTTATTTCCACCCCTGAGTACAACCATAATACTACCTTGTCCTCATCCATGCTTGGTGGCATAAACCTACACCTGCTCATTTGTCATCATTCACTAAGTTAATGAATTCATAACCAGCATAATCAGTGGTAACTCAGATTAACTGACAAAGGTTCCATCTGACATTTCTCGTGTCTTGGGCAGTTACTTGAGATCAGCCTTATAAATTCAGGTCTTATGTGGCAAGTATAATGCGTGCTATGTAATAGGCACTTGGAAGAAAAAGGACTCATTTCATGAGTTAAAAAAACACATGGATCAATTAAGGTTTAACTGATAATATGTTGATTGATGACTGTCATCTTGCACTCCAGATTTGTCAAAGTTAGTGTTTGTATGTAGGTATGTAGGTCTACTAATGCAGACAGAAAACTAACAATTTAAAGTAGCCACCTGGCTAGCAATTCTCGAAACATTCGTAGCCCTAAGAATTCTTAACTTTGATCATATGGGATTAAGAAGTTTGTATGGCTACGAGCATTTTGAGAATAGCTAGTGAGGATATTATTTATACAATAAATCTTTATTTGAATGTCTGCATTTTGTTTTGTTTCATTTGTTGTAGTATTCAACAGAATCACTCCACTTTCAATCGTAGTACTCTCATTCACTGGGACATGAAATTAAACTTTAAATTCGTTTGTATTTGTTAGAATTATAAATAATAAAAAACTAGACGGAAATATATTTAGCTTCCAGTTTGTAAAATACCTGAAATATTTGGGGTTCGTAACGATAACTTTATTTTCAAATTAATTCCAAGACGAAACTGAATTTCATCTTTGTTGATCCATGACAGGATACACCAAATATCTGGGATATCATAAGTGGGGACCCACTAGAAAAAAAACAACTTGTCCCGGACAATTGTTCCGGATCAGTGGCCCTTTATAATCCGAACTCAAGGTTATAATCCGACCTCAAATCTAACCCTGTCAACAAACATAAGTGGCAGAAACGACTTTTTTCAGAACATGAGGCTTCACACGACCTAGAGAAGTTCTTATGACCTGACATGTTTGGGTTTTGGGGTGTTTGAACGCAAGTTTTCCATCTCGATCAATGCCAGATGCGGGTTATTGTCAGCTCCACTTCGACGCGTGCTACTCTAAATGGATAGCGCAGTGGACGCGGCATCGCTGCGCGGAGCTTCTTAACCCCACCCATGGCTAATAATGACAAAATACTCTTGATTTATGTGACACAAGGTCTTGATTTCTATGAGTGGAAACTGTCAACAATCCATGATACTTGCTAAAGTATTAAAAGTTATCGGAGCTTACCACTGCAACCTTCCTGATACTGGCCATGACCTCTACTTTCTTGACACTGAACCAAATAACACCACGCCGTCGAGGGTCAAAATTCAGAGTTGAAAAGTTGGATTGTGGGTCACAAATTTCTCAAAGGTCGTTTCGTAGTTAAGGTCATATTACATCGGCAGGTGAGAAAACGGTGTAATAATACAAAATTATATGACTAAGTGGATGAGGCGTCATTACACCAGTGAGTCTTGACTTACATTTGTTACATCTCTGTCCCTATAAGTAGTTATATAGTGTTATATAAGGGTTACATACAAATATTACAAGGGTGAAATACCAGTACGTACGCACTGGGAGAATTGATGACAATAGAATATGAGTTATTGTTTAATTATATCAGAGACAATGTAAATTTTAATATAATTTTTTTACCAAGTGTATGCAGGGTCCATAACAGAGACCACTGAGTCGATCTTCATGGGATACAAACCATCTTAAGTTTAACACAGCCTGAAGACGTACAATCAAAACCTTATTTAAGTAACCTACATTTCTGGTATTTTCGATGGATTTTCAATAATATTTTCCAGCCATTTGTAGAATCTGGCCCAGTGAAGTCTTCCGCCAAAACCTCTTGTTTGCCTGGGTACCTGGGTACCAATCAAAACCTGGGTACATAACAGTCAGCCACAAAATTTCGATGGATTTTCAATAATATGATACTTGGATTTGTAGAGACTAGGCCCAAAGATTAGGCTACCACACCACCTTCAGAAATGTGTGTTACCTGTCTGTTGGCTCAACATGTTTCAACAGAGCCCCATTAGCGTGTGATACAGGTGTGGTCTCGCATTCGGATCACCTCGTTGGTTGATTGTTCCAACGGTCCGTTTCAACTGTGGGTAAACTGATACCGTGATAGTTGAGACTAATCGAGAAAAATGTTCCAGTTTAGTCGTCTGAGTAGCACTACGCACGATTATAATATCATACATGAAGACGATAGTATCGCGTATGCACAGCGTTCGAAATAATCGCCGGCCCGGAGTCCCAGCACCAGTTGTTATTGTATCGGACCGGCAGTTTTAAATATGTGCAGGCCCTTGTGGCCTTCAGTAAATTATCTGTCAATATATTTTTTTAAACAGGAATTTGATGTCATTCCATATAATGACAGAATTAAACAATGTAAAACTGCGTACAGTGTAGTCTATTTTGTCTTTATTGGTTTGACTTTAACAAATGGGCCTGCAGATTTCATTCAGGGCCTGTAGATTTTGAAGCCTGCAGGCAAATTAAAGTGTTGCAAACACTGCCTATATATGCACGTGGAACCTTATTAAGCATCCCCTTGTTTTAAAAGAGTGATATGAACAGAAAGGTGTGAGATATTTCATACTTCTACAAGGGCAGTAATGCCTGACTATCTGAAGGAAGACTGAATAGCTAACTACAGAAACACAACGAAATGAAGGCAAGATGTTAATGTGTATGCTTTGTACGTGCCAATACTGTTGATTTTGTGGACAAGCAGTTCATTAGATAAGTATTGTCCTGAGATAGTGCCGGGTCCCGTTTTCTGTACAGGCTCCTTGAAATCTACCAAGGTGTTTGGCATCAGCGTCTCATGGATCCGCCACGTGTCTGGAAGACAGGCGTCTCATGGATCCGCCACGTGTCTGGAAGACAGGATCCTTTTCCTCATGCCACCAGTGAACATGCAGATACGTTCCTGAGGCAATTACCACCACTCCTCATGCCACCAGTGAACATGCAGATACGTTCCTGGGGCAATTACCACCACTCCCCATGGGACCAGTGAACATGCCGATACGTTCCTGAGGCAATTACCACCACTCCTCATGCCACCAGTGAACATGCAGATACGTTCCTGAGGCAATTACCACCACTCCTCATGCCACCAGTGAACATGCAGATACGTTCCTGAGGCAATTACCACCACTCCTCATGGCACCAGTGAACATGCAGATACGTTCCTGAGGCAATTACCACCACTCCTCATGCCACCAGTGAACATGCAGATACGTTCCTGGGGCAATTACCACCACTCCTCATGCCACCAGTGAACATGCAGATACGTTCCTGAGGCAATTACCACCACTCCTCATGCCACCAGTGAACATGCAGATACGTTCCTGAGGCAATTACCACCACTCCTCATGCCACCAGTGAACATGCAGATACGTTCCTGAGGCAATTACCACCACTCCTCATGGCACCAGTGAACATGCAGATACGTTCCTGAGGCAATAACCACTCACTCCTCATGCCACCAGTGAACATGCAGATACGTTCCTGAGGCAATAACCACCACTCCTCATGTCACCAGTGAACATGCAGATACGTTCCTGGGGCAACTACCACCACTCATGCCACCAGTGAACATGCAGATACGTTCCTGGGGCAATTATCACCACTCCCTCATGTCACCAGTGAACATGCAGATACGTTCCTGGGGCAATTACCACCAACTCCTCATGTCACCAGTGAACATGCAGATACGTTCCTGGGGCTATTACCACCACTCCTCATGCCACCAGTGAACATGCAGATACGTTCCTGGGGCAATTACCACACTCCTCATGCCACCAGTGAACATGCAGATACGATCCCTGAGGCAATTACCACCACTCCTCATGTCACCAGTGAACATGCAGATACGTTCCTGAGGCAATTACCACCACTCCTCATGCCACCAGTGAACATGCGGGACGTTCCTGAGGCAATTACCACCACTCCTCATGGCACCAGTGAACATGCAGATACGTTCCTGAGGCAGTTACCACCACTCCTCATGCAATACTGCCTTCAATTTACCCACATTTTGTACAGGTGGGACCCTTGCCTGCAAACGACGACCAGGAATGTCCCAGATGTACCCAGATTGGTATCCCAGATTGGTACCCCAGATTGTTACACCAGATTGCACACGCAGTGTCCATTATGGGATTCGGTTTAGTGAGTGTCGGGTATTAAATTTGCTTGAGTTTCTATACTTTTTATGATTTTATTTACATAATGTAAGATTTGATTTAGTAGAGAGATTTGTAGTACGGTGACATACCATTGAACTAAGCGGTTATCGCGATACATACTGGGGGGTTTACCCTATCTGGTTCAGCACGGGTTGTTGGACGAGCAATACATGTGCATTACGTGCTTTAATCCTATATCCTATACACTAAGATATCGACTGTGACAAAGTGCATTGTGCATTGCGTTTCAAGTTAACATGACATGACTGATTTCTTAGAAAGGCGTGCCTTTAAGTCTGGCACGTAGCCAAAGTTTGAAACATGTATGCAAATAAATAACCTACTTTTTCTTTTACAGCTTGCAGAAGTTATTGACGAGCGTTTTAGGAGAGGTAATATATAGGATCAGGCTGGGTCTCCCCATTGCAATTTGAAGTAGGGTTAGATATCACAGATTAGTGTCTTTAAGAAAGAACATTGGCACGTTGTCAAGATTGAAGCATGAATATAGTTTATCTGTAGAAGGATATGTAATACGGGAAATACACACTGACAGCCTGGGTGGGACGGGTGGCCCAGTTATCTTAGGTGCAGCTGTTCGCTGTGCAGAGTTGTTACCTCCCTTTGACGTACCAGAATCCAGGTTCGCCTTGATTGTGTTTGCATGTTTGTCATCACTAAGCCTGTGCTTGTAGGTATCTGACAAACGGTAGACGTCGTCGACCTACATTACTCTACATGGGTCTCTCCCCCCAGTGACCTCACTCGTCACCATACAACTGAAACAATGCTAAACCGGCGTTATATTGTATTTCTGATAATCTCACATGTAGTTATAACTTCCCACCCAATTAAACACAACATTGCTTGTAAGAGAGTATTTTGGGTCACTGCTTCGTGGCACACACCTTTGTATTAAACACATTGTTTTAGGATATCACTCCAATTCCGAAAACACTTTTTGGTGAACACACATGGCCCAAAAAACATTTTCATCATTTTCTCAATTTTTGCTAAAGTCCCTTTTAACTTTCTATTCACTTGATGCAACGTCAACGTTGATTGTATTTCTGATAAACTCTGACATGTAGTTATAACTTACCCCACAATAAAACATTTTATCATCCAAAACTGTGTTCCACAGGAGATATTGCTTGTGTGAGATCATACGTATCTCCTAGGAGATATCGTTTTGACAGTAGATTTTGTATAATGCCCTGACAATCCTATGACGTCATGAACTTGATGACGTCACAATGCTACGACATGCACTGCAATTGTAATAATCAGAGATACTAATACTCTATATAGTATGCAGGTATAAAACATCAGATATAACTTAAGAGATATTTACAGAGAAAGCATTTTGTACTTATATATATACATGTATACAAATCAAGGATATCAAGCAGGTGTTATCAGTGTGTCTCACTGTGAAGCCTCACTCACAGGTCACCAGATACTCACGTCACGACACTTGGAAATTAGCCAAGCGTACTGGGGACTGGAAAAACCAAAAGGAGGCATTTGGATGTTACGCAATACGAGCGTGCAGATACATACAGGTATGTTGCGTGTTCATATCACAACGACATGCCTGGGTGTATGTAGCACAGCCGTCTAGAGCGTCTCCGATCAGTATTCAGGTATGTACATAGATTACTGAATACAAGCCAGTAGGTGTGCATGAGAAATGATATGACCAAATATAAGGTAAGTAAGTATATCAATGTACTGACAACTGAACACGAAAACAATCTTGAGAGCGAATGTCTGTGCTGAATGATCATTAATGGCGGACCTGAAAAGATGGGTGCTTTTACGTTTAATGCGCTTTGTGGTCAGTCAGAAAGAGTGCAAATACTACAGTTTTGTAAAAATCATTAACTGGACATTTTGCATAAAACACAACATTTTGGTCTACCATCAACCCATTGAAATATCATATAGTACACTTTCAATCTTCAGAGAAACCAATGAGTTGATTTTAACAAAACAACGTACAATGTATATATAGAATTATATACGTACAAGAATTAGGGAATGTGCAGCCCTTTGCCGTCTCTTTGAACAACGAACTTACATCCTTCACGAAATAGAATTGCAAATCGTGTACCATTCATCTTCTGTGCGTGCATAAGTTTCGATATTAAGTTTAGACTTTTTCTGACTGGAAGTAAACATGATGTTATGAAATTTACTTTCATTTCATTCAAATGTTATTTCTACCACTATACATTTACAGATTCTTAACAATATGAATCGAATTGAGTGGGCAACTTTGGTGACTGTGACAACCCTGGCAACGGTTACATTGAAAGTGGAAGGTATGTGTGATTTGATCCAATCGAGTTCAAGGGGAACGTATGTTGTACATGGTGAACTGTAATTCGTACGCGGGGCACATGTATGTTACAGATTATTTCTTGTAGACGGAACGCTCTAATCTCATATGAATATGTACATGTGAGTGTCTAGATATATGCTAATGAAGTAATGATCACTTTGGTATCATATTTCTTCCTCATTTTGAAGATTTAGCGATATCTACATCAAATTATATCAAGGTTGACTTTTTAAAGAAGCTAACATAGGCAGTGTTGGTATTGCCTAAACAAAACAATGTTTTGTGCATACAGGTCAACGTTCATGTTCTACCGATGGCTGTCTCCATGGTAACGGTGGTCTACGATGTCAGTCATGTATCAGCCCGGGTGTTACGGCTCAACATGCAGCTACATGTCATGGACGCTGCCATACAGACGGCTGTAACAGACAAACTGGCCAGTGTTTCAGATGCCAACCAGGGATGTACGGACGAGACTGCGACCAAACATGTCCACTTCAATGCGCCAACAGTGCGATAGGCGGGAATGTCTACTGTGATCGAGACAAAGGTGCGTGTTCTGAAGCATGTCAACCAGGCTTGACCGGTTCACACTGTACCGAATCATGTCCGCTCAACTGCAAACATCAAACCTGTAACAAGCAAACAAAACAGTGTATCACCGGGTGTGAGACAGGCTGGACAGGAGATTACTGTAATACAACATGTGACAACTGTCTGATGGGAAAATGCAACGATAAGGGCTACTGTCTCTTGGGCTGTAAAGCGGGCTTCTTCGGACAAAACTGTGATAGGGGATGTCCACACTGTTGGACTACTGGCTGTGACAGAGGTTCCGGAATCTGTGAACAGTGTCATCCTGGTTACCATGGCTCCAACTGCACCGAGACGTGTCCTAAAACATGTTTTCAAAACCGGGAGGGTTACAGAAACTGTGACCGTCACACCAAGGCTTGTCTCGAGGACTGTGAACCTGGATGACATGGGTCTCATTGCAACACACCATGCAGCACCTCCTGTACAGCTGCCCGTTGTTACAGTCATGACGGTTCCTGTGTAGATGGATGTGTACCAGGTTTCTATGGCAAACACTGCCACAAGAGATGCATTCATGGAAACTGTAAAAACAACACTTGTGACCGCCATGGTCATTGTAAGGAATGCAAAGATGGCTGGTTTGGAGAAGACTGTCAGCGACTTTGCCCAGCACTGTGTGAGTCATGTCTTCGCGACACTGGGCAATGTTCACGGTGTTCTGATGGCTATCATGGTCCTGACTGTGATGATAAATGCAGTGACACCTGTTTGCATCACACATGTGACAGAGATGGCAACTGTTTTGAGTGTAAAGATCTGACGTACGGAACTCGGTGTCAATACCCATGTAGCGAGAACTGCGTGAGATGCGACCAGACAACGGGGGCGTGTACAAGGTGCAGAGGAGGACAATCCCTTGAAGACGGTAGATGTACCCCATCAGCATCTGAACATTATACATCCTCGGGGGCAGATTCCGTGAAGCATACGCGATTTAAATTAAAACATTTTTTCTGCATTTTCTTAACACTTATCTGTGCATGCGCTATGACTTGGCGTTGCTAGAAGATAAGTTTCATTATATTCAGTTGTTTCGGTCATTGTTTAGGAGTGCCGTATTGGTCCCAAAATGTCTTTTAGCATTATATGACCTATTAACTCGTGGCAGTTTCCGTTTCGACTTTACAAAAACAGTTCAGCTATTCTAAACAGATCGTTATGTTACATTGTTTATAGATATTCAAGCAACATTGTTCGCGATATTGTGCCATCTGGACATTGGACGATTTGTGAGATTATCATCGCTGACATGTATTTTAATTGTGATTATTGCAGAAGTTAAGAGTTATGTTATAAGTTAACTGTTTTTGTCCATTCTGTTGTCTGTTGAAATAAATATATTTGTTGTTTTAATTGTTAATTGTTTCAATTATTTGCAAAGTCTATTAGACGTTGACAAATTGGTTAGCATATTATGGGGCGGTGGGGTAGTCTAGTGATTAAAGCGTTGGCTCGTCACGCCGAAGACCCGGGTTCGAATCCCCACATGGGTACAATGTGTGAAGCCCATTTCAGGTGTCCCCCGCCGTGATGTTGCTGGAATATTGTTAAAAGCGGCGTAAAACCAAACTCAGTCAGTCAGTCAGTTAGCATATTACAACCAGAAAATACTACCATATAGGAGAGTTTTATTAATCGTTTTGTTAAAGGTAGTATGAACTTGAGCAACAATGCGACTGCAGATGTAGGTGAGGTCCTCATTTCATAAGCTGAATAACATCATCGATGGTTGGCTCTCACCTTTCCAGAGGAGTCAGAAATTGTATCAACAAGCGATCACTTTGAAATTCCATTTGTTACTCAAGGGATTGATACTTCAGCTGGGTTGGCATATATTTCTAGAGGCCCTGGGGTGTAATTACAAAGTTAGCAAGGTTTGTTTGTTCACAAGAGGACAAATTATCCTAATTTTGCAATTTTGGCCTGGTCTACTGATTGCAGCAGTTGGGGCCTTTGCCATTTATGTGTTGGATAGTTTTGTATTTAGTTGGTCAATTTACTTCATGGTCGAAAACAGGGCATTTTCAACACTTGGACCTTGTGCAAGAAAGTCATTTGTACGGGTGGGACCCTGGCCTGCAAACGACGACCAGGAATGTCCCAGATGTACCCCAGATTGTTACCCCAGATTGTTAACCCAGATTGTTACCCCAGATTGCACACGCAGTGTCCATTATGGGATTCGGTTTAGTGAGTGTCGGGTATTAAATTTTGTTGAGTTTCTATACTTTTATGATTTTATTTACATAATGTAAGATTTGATTTAGTAGAGAGATTTGTAGTACGGTGACATACCATTGAACTAAGCGGTTATCACGATACATACTGGGGGGTTTACCCGATCTGGTTCAGCACGGGATGTTGGAGGAGCAATACATGTGCATTACGTGCTTCAATCCTATATCCTGTACACTAAGATATTGACTGTGACAAAGTGCATTGTGCATTCCTTTTCAAAGTAAACATGGCATGACTGATTTCTTAGAAAGGGGTACCTTTAAGAAGGAAGTCTGGCACGTAACCAAAGTTTGAAACATGTATGTAAATAAATAACCTACTTATTCTTTTATAGCTTGTAGACGTTATTGAGATATAACATATGGTATATTTGGGATTACACTTTCTTAGTAAAGTACAGATTCTAGTACTTTTGGGGTTAAGTCCCATCCGGGATTCGAACCCGCACCCTCAGAGTCAGGCACCTAATCGCCAGCACACAAAGTCAGACGCCTAGACCGCTCAGCCACCGCGGCTTCCACAAAATGGAAGTCGGACAACTGGTAGTCTAGACTGCGGACTTTGTGTACCCCTCTGATAAGTGTTAATTGGCACGGCTCCCACGGCCGAAAGCTATGAAATACACAATGCCATTTTAGAAAGTGGTCAAATGTAACATATGTTATATTTGGGATTACACTGTGTGTACGAGGCATTACAATTCCAAATAGCTTGAGGGAAAACTATAGATAACATATCCCCGCTGCGAAAAAGGGAACCAACGGTCAAACGTCAACGGAATGGAATAAAAGTGTAGGATCGACCATAAGAAAAACAGCGAAAGGGATCGTCTTAAACATTTTGTTCAAGAAAACCCGCAGACTCCACCATGTCGTAACTGGCGTTTGGGTGCTAGTAAACCCTACCACAGTTACCTATTGATTATGGTCGTTCCACATTGTCAGGGGAAATGTAAGCTCCAGCTCTGCACTCACTTGGTCCATGAGGAATGCTCAGTCAAGGAGTGAGGCGTCGGGCGACCGTGACTCCTAACTAACTACATCACATTCATGTACTGGCCTACATACATTCAAAGGTAAATGTAACACCAAGTTCTATACTCACATAGATTTACTGTCTCTCAGTCCATTTCTCTCTAAGTACAACTCCAACACAAGACAGAGCAGACTCGTATCCTACGGGGAATTTAGTAAAGTGGATTGGCTTCCGAAATGTTGAGCTAGTACTCTCCGCACTCGCTGCACTCTCTCGCTCTCTCTTTTAGCACCCAAACATGCCTTTTTAAATGAGACGAGCCTGACCTTATCTTGATCACATATTTCAACATATAGTTTTGATTTGTTAATAACTGTATCTGTCCTTTCACTCATGTGTATTATAATTAGAGGGGTCTCGGACAGCACCGTTCAGTGACTCCCATTTTCAGTGATTTGCTACTTCCGTCTCCGCCCTTTAACTCATGTATTTCGTAACCTTCCTTTTACGACCTTGTCGTGTTTTCGTCTCACGAACAGTTTTAGCCAAGTTCATATCTCAATGTTTATCTTTCTCCTATTCCCGACTTTCTGTTTCCACTATGTGTTTAATTATAACCGTTCTTAGTCATGAGCCAAAGGTAATCAGTTCTGAGTCATATTGGTAATCGAAATACGGAATCTGCTGTAATTCTCATACTGCTTTAGGGATGCATTTTCACCTTATAACATCCTCCGCCTGTGGACAAGAGCTGCCCACAGCTCGGATGAATTAAACATGAGTTCCAGTCAGATACGTTCAAAGTTAAACACAATATATACTATCGAAGCAAAACAGGATCGGTAATTGCTGATAGAAAATGATAACCATTTTCAAAATTTTGAAATATTCGGGAAAACCGTAGATACTGTGTATGAAAAGACTGTCATGCCAAAGAATGATAAATGATCCTATGTTACTTCGGGTAAATCCACAAAGCATATACATCAGACATATATTATTATGAGGTTGATCGCACAACACTTCATTAAAGTCAATCTTAAATATTAAAATGTCATTGCTATGGCCAAATATGGCACCACCTTTCACAAAAAGTTCACAAGTCTCTGGTCCCATGGAACATACTGGCTCTGGTCGACTTGAAAAGTCACAGTCAAATTCCGATTGGTTCTCGGTTTACACTGAACACTGTTAATGTCCGAACACACGGCCTGTGCGTATCGCACAGCATAGTTCTTTGCTTAGGCCTCGAAGTGAAAAGATGAAATGTTCAGCACACTGCGAGAGTGAGCACTGATGTTTCGCTGACAATGGACCCTGATGCTTGCGTGGGGAAACATCGTAGAGGTCCACCGTGCTGAACGCCAATGATGAACCTTTGTGGGCGGTGTAATGTTCAGCGCTGTACACTCGTACCACAACGTTCGTCAGTATCAAGCCAGTTTAGAGCCAGATAATAGAGTGTAACGTGGACCGGTCTGGACTGCGGGATCAAGAGCATGAGCATATCTGTTCTCCCGTCCGAATGACCACCCGGGGTCCGGCCAG